GCGCTAACCCAAAACTGATAAAGTTAATTAGTAAAGATAACAGTTCAGAAATTGCCATAGGACAGCATTGTATGATGTGCCTTGTTTAGAATTATGCCTTCATCCTTGAGGTCAAAAATTTGTTTTCCCATAAAGTAGCTGGAAGTGTGAGTTAATAATGGAATTGTGAGAGCAAATGGGATCATTGGAACCGAGGTGAATAATGGGGTATCGAGGGTATCTTCTGAATCAGTACAATTAAAAGATTGGAAATAAACAGAGGAAGGACTGAGAAGGAAGGTGAATTAGAATGGGTAAATTTAATGTAAATACTCCAAATAGAGAGAAGGTGGAGAAAGGGAATGTGAAATTAAGGAAAAGTCAGAAAAAGTCAAATTTGGCTATGTAATATTTCTAAAAACTAGAGATTGATTCATAATCATTAACATTTCAGAATCACAGAATTGTTATGGTATAGAAGGCAGCTATTCATCCCATCGTATCAGCACCACTCTGAGCATTTCATTTAATGCCCAACTCTTGCCTTTTCCTCAAAGCCCTTGCCTTTTCCTCAAAGCCCTGCACACTCTCTATTTAAATAATCATCCAATGCTTTCTTGAATGCCTCAATTGAACCTGCATTCACTATATTTTCGGGCAGCGTACTCCAGACTCCAACTACGTGCTGTGTGAAAGAACATTTTTTCTCACCATTCACTTGTTTCTTTTGCAAAAAAACATTAAAACTGTGCCCTTTGGCTCGTGATCCTTTCCAAAGCAGCAACACTCCCACTCCATTTAAAGGGTGCTCATGCTACTAATCACCGGACTTAACTTGCTGTTGAGAGTTTAACAGAAAATTAATGTGTAAATGTATGACTTTGTGAGGATCAATGGGAGGTTATAGGATGAGATGTCAAGCTTGGAAAGCAATTCACAGGCTACCTCTCCCTCACCAGACGTTGAGGATTTATTTGCATATTAATAATAGGTCTTTCAGCCATAGATGGTTTTTTAGTAAATTCAAGACTTACAAATTTAATCTAAGCCTTCTTTATCTCCATGTTCTATTTACTTCCTTTGGTGGAAAAGCAGCCTAAATTTTGCATTTTGCATTGCTCTGAAAAACCAAACAAGGTCCAACAGATATGCTTTCTTTTTGAATTAATAATGTGTTATAAAGCAATGCATTATACTAAGAGATGATGGATTCCAGATTTCTGCTGCTGCAGAAATAATGGAATTGTGAGAGCAAATGGGATCATTGGAATCTAGGTGAATAATGGGGTATCGAGGGTATCTTCTGAATCAGTACAATTAAAAGATTGGAAATTCCATTCCTTCCTGTTGACAGATAGACTAAAAGCTATCTCCACATCATGCATTTATACCTAGTTTTAATTTATACTATACTACAGCAAATTGTTGATTGTATCATTTTATACTGTCAGCAAAGTCAGCAATGCAAAATATAAAATATAACCTTTCATATCTCACCTGCAAATTTTGTGTATTTATTATGTCACAGATACTGTAGAAAAAAATTGTCAGCTCCCTTGTAGTGAATAAATTGGACCGTTCAATTTTCCCCAAAGAGAAAAGCTACCTTGCCGTGATGTAAGCAGGCTATATGTGATTACATATAATTATAATTAACCTGCTGAAGTATATTAAATTTCCTTAAGCCAATCAAGACAGAAAATTATTAATAAAAAGGTGCCAAGTCAAGTACCCCGACAAGGAAATGAATTTTCATTTCCCTGTTGCAGAATTTGATATACGTTTTAATTCTTGTTCATTTAATGTTCTTCTCAGAATGCAAATTCTTGGCTGGTTATACATAAAAAGCAGCTACATGCTATAAGTATAAACAGTTGTGTAAAGGACTACATGTTAAGTCTAAACCCATTCAGCTTTTTGCAACATCTTTTTGTTTCAACTATTCAAATGCTCACACAGTGGAAACACAATTAATGAATTTTAAAAGTGACAGAATCATTAAGAGTTGCTATGTAAAGCCACTATAGTATTTTATTACGTTACTTTCATTCTCATTACCACATACTTGTGACATGAAAATATGTTCCTTACACATAATAATCTTTGGCCCATTTGAAATCCATTCATAACACTGCGCTACCACAGCCATGAATAATGCAAGGAACATAGAACATAGAACATAGAACATTACAGCGCAGTACAGGCCCTTCGGCCCTCGATGTTGCGCCGACCTGTGAAACCAATCTGAAGCCCATCTAACCTAAACTATTCCATTATCATCCATATGTTTATCCAATGACCATTTAAATGCCCTTAAAGTGGGCGAGTCTACTATTTTTGCAGGCAGGGCATTCCACACCCTTACTACTCTCTGAGTAAAGAACCTACCTCTGACATCTGTCTTATATCTATCACCCCTCAATTTAAAGCTATGTCCCCTCGTGCTAGCCATCACCATCTGAGGAAAAAGGCTCCCACTGTCCACCCTATCTAATCCTCTGATCATCTTGTATGTCTCTATCAAGTCACCTCTTAACCTTCTTCTCTCTAACGAAAACAGCCTCAAAACCCTCAGCCTTTCCCCATAAGACCTTCCCTCCATACCAGGCAACATCCTGGTAAATCTCCTCTGCACCCTTTCCAATGCTTCCACATCCTTCCTATAATGCGGTGACCAGAACTGTACGCAATACTCCAAGTGCGGCCGCACCAGAGTTTTGTACAGCTGCAACATGAGCTCATGGCTCCGAAACTCAATCCCTCTACCAATAAAACCTAACATACTGTACGCCTTCTTAACAACGCTATCAACCTGGGTGGCAACTTTCAGTGATCTATGCACATGGACACCGAGATCTTTCTGCTCATCCACACTACCAAGAATCTTACCATTAGCCCAGTACTCTGTATTCCTGTTACTCCTTCCAAAGTGAATCACCTCACACTTTTCCGCATTAAACTCCATTTGCCACCTCTCAGCCCAGCTCTGCAGCTTATCTATGTCCCTCTGTAACCTGCAACATCCTTCCGCACTATCCACAACTCCACCGACTTTGGTGTCATCCGCAAATTTACTAACCCATCCTTCTACACCCTCATCCAGGTCATTTATAAAAATGACAAACAGCAGTGGCCCCAAAACAGATCCTTGAGGTACACCACTAGTAACTGAACTCCAGGATGAACATTTCCCATCAACCACCACCCTCTGTCTTCTTACAGTTAGCCAATTTCTGATCCAAACCGCTAAATCACCCTCAATCCCATGCCTCTGTATTTTCTGCAATAGCCTACCATGGGGAACCTTATCAAACACTTTACTGAAATCCAAATACACCACATCAACCGCTTTACCCTCATCCACCTGTTTGGTCACCTTCTCGAAGAACTCAATAAGGTTTGTGAGGCACGACCTACCCTTCACAAAACCGTGTTGACTATCCCTAATCAAATTATTCCTTTCTAGATGATTATAAATCCTATCTCTTATAATCCTTTCCAACCCTTTACCCACAACCGAAGTAAGGCTCACTGGTCTATAATTACCAGGGTTGTCTCTACTCCCCTTCTTGAACAAGGGGACAACATTTGCTAGTCTCCAGTCTTCTGGCACTATTCCTGAAGACAATGACGACATAAAGATCAAAGCCAAAGGCTCTGCAATCTCCTCTCTAGCTTCCCAGAGAATCCTAGGATAAATCCCATCTGGCCCAGGGGATTTATCTATTTTCACACCTTCCAGAATTGCTAACACCTCCTCCTTATGAACCTCAATCCCGTCTAGTCTAATAGACTGTATCTCAGTATTCTCCTCGACTACATTGTCTTTTTCCTGTGTGAATACTGACGAAAAATATTCATTTAGCACCTCTCCTATCTCTTCGGACTCCACGCACAACTTCCCACTACTGTCCTTGACCGGCCCCAATCTTACTCTAGTCATTCTTTTATTCCTGACATGCCTATAGAAAGCTTTAGGGTTTTCCTTGATCCTACCTGCTAAAGACTTCTCATGTCCCCTCCTGGCTCTTCTTAGCTCTCTCTTTAGGTCCTTCCTGGCTAACTTGTAACTCTCAAGCGCCCTCACTGAGCCTTCACGCCTCATCTCTACATAAGCCTCCTTCTTCCTCTTGACAAGAGATTCAACTTCTTTAGTAAACCATGGTTCCCTCGCTCGACCACTTCCTCCCTGCCTGACAGGTACGTACTTCTCAACGACACGCAGTAGCTGTTCCTTGAACAAGCTCCACATTTCAATTGTGCCCAGCCCCTGCAGTTTCCTTCTCCATCCTATGCATCCTAAATCTTGCCTCATCGCCTCATAATTGCCTTTCCCCCAGCTATAACTCTTGCCCTGCTTTATATACCGATCCCTATCTGTGCCCTGTCAAAAATTTGTTCTCTACCAATTCTGGCTCCATTTTGCATCTTCAAAATAGCGAAAAAAAAAGTGACGCTTGCTTAGTTACAAACTCAAAGAAAATCTTTTCAGTCCTCAGCTGATGAACTTATTCACTATTACATCACTCCCTACAGTTTGTGAGGTGGTGTGTTTAAAACATTCTCATTAAATGTAAGTGCAGATTGAAGAATTGGACATGGGAGACAAACCTCATGCTTTTCTTCATGTGCTCAGGGTTTCCCCACAATGGGATAACTGAGGTCAGTAACCCAATGGCAGGAGTGTGGGTGTGAGTATATATGACATGACAGAACTTGGGGAAAAAACACATTCAAATAATAATGGTTAAAACACGTTACCTGAGCCCCGTTCTATGGCAGCATATTGATGGTATTCAATTGCCTGATCAACTGCTATGCAGTGCAGGTGTGGACCTGTGACTTAGTTGGTCTTTCTTTGCCCATCACAGTTTTAATAAGGTCAACCAACAAGTTCAGTGATGAAAGCCATCATTTTTTTGAATTTTGTCCTCTGCATCACCCTCACCTTACTTCATGGATATAAGTGATTGAGCGACACCTAGTGGCTGAGACTTAGCCCCCCCTACTTGGCGTCTTACCTGGTCTGCAAGTGATCGAACTGCACTTGAAGGTTGTCATTCAGTTCTGTCTGTTCATCTAAGGAACGCTGCAGCTTCCTGATCTGGTTCAGCGACTCGTCCAGCTACAGTAATAGAAAGGCAGAAGCATAAGATCTGGGACCAGACAAGCACAGAACCATCGAAGAGACTATTCAGCCTATCATGCCTGCACTGGCTAAATAAACTAGCTGCCCATTCTAATTCTGCTTGCCTCCTGGTCCATAACATTTCAGGTTAGAGAGCTTCAGGTGTACATCCAGGACAGTTTAAAATGAGTTGCAGGTTTCTGCCTCAATGCAATCTGGGTTGCAAATTCCAAACACTGACCATCCTCAGGGTGACAAGGTTTTTCCTCATGTCGAAAAGGTTTTTCCTCATGTCTCCTGTAATTCTTCTACTGATCACCTTAAATCTGTATCCCCAATAATTGACCTCTTTGTTAGAGGTAACAGGTCTTCTCTGTCCACTATATCCAAGTCCGTCATTATTTTGTACATTGTCATGACACAGGTCAAAACCCTACAATACTGTCGGCATGTTAAAGTCGTAATTCCAAAATGCATTTATTTTAAGAAGGGGGTCAATACAATCGAAAATACTACAGATTTAAATCTGGAGCAAAAGATCCATGGAATTTCAAACTTATAGACGTGAACAAGACTTCAATAATAACTCATTAAAGTGATGAAGCAGCAAGTCAAAACAGACTGGATTGTGATCTTTTGCAACTACTAAAATACCAAGAGAGAGATGATTCCACCCTCTGCAGATTATGTCCCAAACTGTGTCTTTCCTGCCAAAAAATACAAAAGGTCAAGGGTTAAAATGCTATTTTCAACTCTACTGGAGTGTACCGGTGGGACTGAATGCTCCCATGTGTACCAGCTTGGGTTTTTAGTGTTGGTGTGCTGTGAAGGTCACAGTCACGATCTCCTACTTGCATCTTATTGCAGGTAAGAACAACTCTCACTCTGAGTGCTAGAAGTCAGCAAACTAACAGCCAGACAAAAGGAAGATTCTCTCATTCAGTGCCACAAACTAATTTTTAAAAAATGTTGATTCACAAAGAACCTTCAATGAGGCTACAAAATCCAGAATCTCAAAAATTAATAGGTCAATTCTATGGTAACTGTCACTGCAACTACTGCAACGTTCAACTAACCACTCTTTGTATACAACTTAGGGGACATCTTATGGTTCTTTTGGTCAAGTCCAAAATCACTGGGCTTTTTGAAGCAGTTTTCATTCACTTTCTCTCGCTGTACTTTCCCAAACTCACATCATTAATGACCTACCACTCCCCGGTGGTGTCTCCCATGTCCAATTTCTGTCCCATCTTACCATGCGCCATTCCCAGAACAATTCGCCATTCAGTGGATATCCACCTAAAGATCGCAATCCCTTATACCCGTGCCATCTTTAAAACTCTGCAGTGCACCTGGCTGAGCATGAGTATTCTAAAGCTGCCCTGCTCATTGACTGGTTTGTAGGGTGATGTGAAAGAGAGGTGTCCAGTGTTCCCAGGGCTGGCAGAGCAGGCTGTGCCACCAGACACTGCCAGCCTGGTCTGAATTTACCAGCTGTGTCACTGATGTCTCCAGGGTGTGGATGAATGGCCAACAGTGCTGCATGAAGGTCAATGACCTTCCCTGTTACATCAGGGCAAGTGCCATACTCTGCTATCTCACATTCATTCTCTCTCTGCTAATGCACTCACTTCCACCAGGGGTGATGCTTCACCAGCCTTACTAAAGCCTGCAACACATTCTCTCACTTGCTCTTCCCCCTCAGCCTCCCACACCATACCCCTAATCCTTCATGCTCTCTACTCCACCTTCTCAGCCCTTTGGAAAACCTCACCATCTTTCTCTCATGTGCAAAAGGACTAATTGCTGTGTCGCCCATACAGGTTGGTTGGGTGGGGGGATGGGGGGGGGGGGGGGAGGTGTGAGGGAGGTGTGGGGAAAGGGGTACATCCATGTCCTTGCTCCTACTAGGAGAGGATCCTAGACTTTGCAGGGGTAGACTGGGACCATTCCTATGGTGCAGCCAAATTTCCACATCCCTTTCCTATCAGCCCATTTCATCAAACCCACAGGATTCACAATACCCCAAGTCCCCATCCAACCTGTCTATATGCATCTGCCGAGCCTTCCTACCCAGATCCTATAGTATGAGATGGCTTTGCCTAGAGTGATCACTCAGCGATTTCTTGAAGTCAGGTCCTTCTGACAATGGACAACTCCCTTCCCACATTATGCCCTCTCCCCATCAATGCTTTACAGCCTGACCCCCTTCGAAATTCTGATGCTCCTCCCACCCCTTCACAATTACACTGACCCCTTGTCCAATCCTTCAACCCTCAGTCCCAAAAACTAAACTACTGAGGGTGCATTTGTCTCCTTCACCTCACCACACAACCCCTTCCCCTTTAGGTTCTCTGGATGAACCAGATGGACCGACTATGGTCCACCCCATCCCACTTGATCAACATGAAAGGACAGCCCTGGGCAAGACATGCCCAGAACCCTCACAGCTGCCTATATACCCTGACTGGTACATCTCCCCAACTACCTTAGTCTTAACCCCTGGAATTGCTGCCACGGAGTCAACAGACTAATCATGGTTACACCCTGTACTGCAGATGCACGGGCGCCCTGTCTAGACACCTGACCGTGGCCAATACACTTGATTTACTGTGCTGGGATCACCGATGTGTATGGACTCCCCCCACTAGAGTTGAATAAATGGCCACCTGCTTGTTGCATATGCCATGTATTCGCTGAGTAAGCTGCAGACACATGAACTAGCTGTGAGTTTGAAGTAGAACCTGACATACAGCAAGATATGTGTTCCCTGCATTGAAGACTGTTTAATAGCAAGACAAGCTTCCTAGTTCTGTGACTATACTAACTGGCACAGCATGACAAGACAAGGTAGGAATGCTGTAAGCGTACAAGTTGGTGTTAAGTGAGCAAGGGCTAAAAGAGCAAGCAAACAGCCCTGAGATTAGCCTGGTCCAGTCTGCATGCTGGGTGCCTGTCCCTGTGTGCAAAGTGTCCTCACTGCAGCCCTCCAATGGAAGTTGCTGATGTGCCCTGAAAAACAGGTCTGTGCTTCCAGACTGTATAGTAGACATGCCAAAATAGTCATAATGGATTGTCAAAAGCAAACATCGACAGAGGAAGAGCGCATTCAGCAGGTGCCTGAGGATCATGCCCATTGTCCAACATGGAGATCGTTCAGAATTAAGTGGCCCACTGAATCCAGTAGCTGTCTGGTCTGGTTTCCTTGTCTAGTTTTCCAAAAGTCAAACTCGGTTAGTGAGTTTGGCAAGATGGAAGTCCAGTTAAATTGACTCCTTTTGAAACACAAGTTCATTTGGAACTAGGGAAAAGGTATCAGTAAGGGAAGGGATCCTTTTTAAATTAGTGTTGCAATCAACTGAGGGAGTGATTGAATCAAGAAGAGTCAGTTAAAACATGCTCACTGGGTGCTTAATAGTCTAGAATATCCCATCTTGAACTGTAACAATTGGGGAGCCTGTCCCAGGGTCTGGTCCTAACAACATCTCGATTAAATAACCTCACAGCCTCATCTGCTCTATGAAGAACAATATTAGTCTATCCAATCATTCTTCAGAGTTGCAATTTTCAAGTCTTGGCAACATTCTTGGAAATCTTCTCTGACTCTCTCTTGACAGCAATTATGTTCTTCCTGTAATGTGGTGACCAGAACTGCACAGAAAACTCCAGCTGTGGCCTAACCAATGTCTTATATAGTTTCATTATTATATCCTGTTCTTGAATTTAATTCCTTGTCCAATGAAGGAAAGCAGCCAAATGCCTATTTTACCACCTGAACTATCTGTCCTACCACATTCACTCCAAGGTCTCTGACTCTCTCGACCCCTCTCAACATCCTATTTATGTATTCACTTGTTTTGTTTGCCCTCCTCAAATGCACATCTCTGAATTGAATTTCATTTACCACTTTTCTACCCTTTCAACCAAACCATTGATATTATGTCGCTGTTGACAGCCATCACCTTCACTATCAATCACATGGCCAAAGTTTGCACCACCCACTTTCCAGATTTTCAGAAGTGTCTTTCCTTAGAATTTGTATTTTCAAATGTAGAAGGTGATACAATGTTGGTATCCCAACATATTCCATTACAAATGGGAAAATGGAAGCTTGTATCCTAATCTTTGATTTTAATTCCCTCTAAAAATTTAGCAAACCTTCAAAGCCTAAGACGCTGTACACACTTATCTCCTTGACTGTATTGGTGCTCTTTCCCTCCACTGTCAGCAGATTTAAGTACTTTACATATAATTTTGCACTCAACCAAAATAGCTGAAAGTTAATTTCTTTCAAAAAACTTTCTGAAGACCTATTTCTTTGACTACACCTTCAAAAACATTCTTAGTGCCTGATTAGCTTGTTCTTCCTCCTACTGATTTTTTTTAATCAACTTGTTCAGAGGTATTATTATACACCTCTGGAGAAGGTGTGACTTGAACCTAGATTGCCTGGCTCAGAGACAATACCACTCCACCATAGTAGTCCTTTATTCCTCCGATAAAACAGTGGGCTAAACTTGAAGGACCTGGAACTGGGTGTTAGGATTGCAATCCGCAATTAAACCACGCCTGTTGACTGCACTACAAGCATTTGATCAACTTCATGCCGTCCATTATGTTTAACTAGCACAAACTGCAATGGTGATTGGCTGGACAACTGATGTAGGAGGTCAAAGCAAGCAGTCAAGATGCAAGGGCTTGTACACAATGTTGCAAGAAGTTCAACGGCCTGACATGAGTACTCAAGGTTAGTGAATGCATCTTCAATTGCCATATCCAATCAACAGCACCAGTCACATCAAAATGTGTAATTCATGATAACCACTGTGTTCGAACAGTGCAAATTGTAAGATTCTGCAAATATATTCAGCTGTAACCTGGAAGGAGCCAAATACACAAAGATTCATCACCATGGTGAGCTTATTTTTTATTTTATTCTTTCAAAAGGTTTTTATTTAATTCAAATTTCACTTTTTACTGTAATGGGATTGAAACCC